ACCGCCGACGGTGTCTCCACCTATCTGTCTGTCAGCCCGATGAGGACCTCGGGTGGTGCTCCCCGCTCGACCGCTACGGCTACATAGCGGGCCGCCTTACCCCCTGTATCCCTCTGGTGTTGGTGAGTCCTCTAACCGACATAGTAGCTCTATATATGAAATGGAAGCATTAAAACACGGATGTTTCTCTTTTAAACATCAAACAAACTTCTACAATACTTACTGCGATGAAAAATATTGAATGGTGAACCATCTCCAGCGGTTCCACCAATTTAACCTACCAGACCGCTTCTTAGAGCTCTAATACTATATTGAACGATTCTGCTTATATATGCTGCAATGAAGGGTGGAATCTTAGAAATGGTATTTAAGTAAACTATTGACATAAGCTTTTTTTAGGACAGTAGAATTACATATAAATATTTGTATCGAGCAATGCTCTTCCGCAAACAATAAGGCCAGTTAGGTATAATTAATTATGAAGCGATAACGTTCCATCTGTATATCATAAATGGAAGCATCAAAGCACGAATGGTTCTTTTTAAACATCAAAAAATCTTCAACTATTCTTACTGCGATGTATAGGTCGGTCCCGCAGTGATTGGGGTTCTTTATTAGATAAAATTGTTAAATGCTTTATAGAAACTTGTTATGAAAAATAATACCAAGTATTTATTTTTTTTAATGTGAGAAACAAGAGAGTGTTCGGGGAAAGAGGTTCTTCTACTGGCTTATCAAGCAAGTTTGTATTTTTAAAATGGTCACTATGCCGCCCTCAGGAAAATATTTTATTGTTATACATGTACATTTTTCTTCTCATAGCTTTGATGAGCCAGTAGAAAAGCCTTTGCTCGAAAACTTGCTTGATTGACTCTATCCTGTTTTCTTTCTCAGGTCTTATCTATTTAGACCACCGGCTCAGCGCTGCGCATACGCGAGTCCATTATATATTTTTAATTCGTCACTAGAGCCTCGATGAACAAGCAGCCGACGTATAAGATTATCCAGTAATACGCTGAGTATATTAGAGTTGTGTGCGTGTTCGTTATTTTTAGCCAAAAAGCCTATTTCCCTCTCTGTTCTTTTATGTGAATGCGATAGTTCTTTATTGAAATAAACCATGTCATTCTGACGATTGTCTTCCCTCAGTTTATCTACGTGGCAATATAGTAAGATGCGGCAAACTTTTAAACTCCTCTAGGTAAACTTTATTCATTACTTAGGTCTGAATCCCTAAATTACTCGTTCATTTTTTTTTGTATTACATACTCTTTGTATGCAGCCACATGTCATACATTATGAATTTCCTTATTTCAATGTGTGTTTTAAGGAATATAATTCAGTAAAAACACCGCGCGATATGTAGTAGAAATTAAATATCCAAAACCAAGATAATCAACTTAGTCCTAACTATTTCACGCTGTTTGATGCAATTTTCTCTCCCCTTGCAGAAGGTGATCAACTTAGAGATAATCGGGCACAGGGTTCCACAGCCAGTGCTTCCAGTAGACAGCCATATAAACTTTATAGAAATCCGTTCATTGGCAGCATTATGCTCTGACGTCTCACGTCACCAGTCACCCGGACTGAAATTCTCTCTCTCTCCGTTGTAGACGTCGCTACCTTCTTCACTGGAGCACACCAGGGTCGCCATTTTCGGAAGTTCGGTCGACGCGCGTCGTCTGGACAGAATTCTACTTCCATTAGGCTTCTGAGACCGCGTCGCCCAATATCAAACTATAGATTACGCCTACTAGGACCACCGTGCCGTCCTGATCCAAGTGGAAAAACCAGCTCATTGATGAAATATCGGAAGAACTATAAAATCTTTCACCTCCGATATTATGGAAACAATGGACCAGGATCGAGGCAGATCTGGTCGCGGAGATACGGTCCCTCGCGCCCGCTGTCGCCGAGTCCGGCGGTGGATACATCGAGAGTGCAAGCCTCTTCCTCAGGCGGAGACTGGAGGTCGACACTGCCCGCTCCGACTATCTTTCCCTTTCGGACCTCGGGCCAAACGTCACTCTCCTTCACTTTCACTGGCGATAACGGCAGCATCATCTCCGGGGACACCCTGAGGCGTCTCCTCGTGGAATGCTTGAGCAGTCTCTTCTCCTCCTAGTTCCTAGCTCAGCTTTAGCCATCGCCGACTTCATTGCTGAATTGACCCCATTAGAGTTCGGCGAGCGGGACCAGCTCTTTTTCGCCGACATCTCTCGTGACCAGATAGCGGCAACCATCCACCGCCTGCCAAACGGCCGTGCCTCTGGACGGGATGATTTACCCTGCTAGTTTGCCAAGGCCTTTGAATATTTCTTCCCCAAAGTTCTCTGAAAAATCTTCGAGTTTTCTCGTCTCTGCGAGGCCTTACCCCCATCTTTGAAACGCAACAGTCATTCTACTGCCGAAGCCGCACGTTGGGCCAGGTCTACAGGCATTCCGACCAATCATCCTCCCAACGACAGTTCGGCGTGTTTATGGGCCGTCTGCATCGTTATCTGTCAGACCTCGTGCCCGAGTGTCAGACTTACTCCGTTCGTAATAGGTCGAACTCGTCGAATATTGCGCAAGTGTCTGACAAGATCTTCTGGACGTCGAGACATGACACGCCACTTGGATGTCATCTCGATAGACTTGAGGTCTGTGTTTGACAATCTGAACAGGAATTACCTGCACGCCCTGTTGGACAAGCCGGACCTTCCGTCTCCCTACCTCGAGTAAGTTTCTGTCCTCTACGGGAAAGCAGACGCCGAAATCCGGTTCGGAGATATTTACACCTAAGCCTTTCCGCCTTACACTTTTCAAAAGGGTGCGGCAGGGTTGCCGCCTCAGCGTCCCTCTCTTCAGCATCGGAGTTGGGCCTCTGCTACGCCGCTTCTAGAGGATCTTGGGCCGCGACGGTGTGTTGGTCTATGTAGGTGATATCTTACTCTTCATTAGGGACAACGCTCAGTTTGAGTCCGTGGCCCTGATCTTCGAATCGCATAGCCTCCGGGGTGGCTGTCAATTTTGACAATAGCTGCGGGCTTTGATGCAGATTCCTGGAAGCATCGGACGAATTCTCCTCTGGAAATATCTTGAACGTCCAAGTCGCTGTCTTGTCCTAAGCTGCACGATTTTTGCCGTCGCCTTCCAGGTCTCCCACCTGATGGGGCTGCTTGAGCGAGCTATCGCGAGGTGGTCTCCCTTCACTCGCGGCTTGTCGCTGGTGGGTCGTATCCGTACGGCCAACAGCCTGGTCCTAGGTTCATCCTGCACCCCCTCCACGGCTACCTTCAATCTGAAACCACCATCGGCCGGCTGCAGGCGCGGTTGACGCGCTTCGGGTGGGAAACCAGCCGAGTTTAGTGGCTTCCCGGGGGCATCCTGGCGCGTCCAGTCTCCGGAGGTGGCTTTGGCCTGCTTAACATCGCGGGCCAGCTTCAGTTCGCTTGTCTGAAGGAGAATCAGACCTCACTGTGTTGCGCCGCCAACGATTATTCTTGGCTGATTCGCAGCCCGGCGTGGCTGAACCCGCCAGTTCCTGGCGTCTGATCCACACTGAGGAGGAGGAGCGTGCCTCTGGGAGGCCGCGTCCAACATTCTTGAGCTGGACCACCGCATTCTGCACCCGCCAGCCTGAGATCCCTGCGTCTTCGAGGCGACAACAGATTCCTGGGCCTCCAGACCTGGCTCTAGCGCTGGTTACGGGCGACTGTCGGAGTCTACTCCGATGGCGTTCCTGACCTAGCGCGCTCAATGCATGCTGCGCTCTCGGGCGCCGGCACCTAGAGGTCTTCTGTCAGCCTCTACTGCAGGAAAACGCCAGTTCCAGTCATCGTGCGGAGCACGAGGCGGAGACTATCGCCCCGCAGGAATCGGCGACGCCCTTATCCGCCTCACCAGCCAGAGGGCACGCCGTGCATTGGACTCAACACGGCTGCTGAGACATCCTGTTGGAGACTGGCTGCGCGGTGGACCCCCACCGTGGATGTGCCCCTCTCCATCACTTTGGCCAACCTGCGTCACAATTGTTTCCTGAGCCACGACGCAGACATCGCCCTTCGGCTGGCACTCTAAACAATACTTCATCTTGACCATCCAGCCTCGAGGTGTGCTCTCTATGCCGCCTGTAGTTCCAGCTTGCCCACAGACTGGAGTTTCCGAGCCGTGCAACTCCTGCTCCGGGAGGTGTTCGCCTTCTGCGAAGTGCCCCTGGATCTACAGGCCTGGCTCTTCGGCGTCGGCCTTCATCCAGGGGCAATGACGATCACACTGTGGCGAAGGCTACCATCTACAAGTACCACCTTGCTCTTGAGTTGGGCAACGCCAACCATCACATCAACCTGCCCACTTTGTGGGAAAGAACTCTGGCGGTCCATCGGTGGCGAAGTCTTTCCCGCAGTGGAAGATTTAAATGAAACAGTTATATATATTGAATATATGTACATATTTTCAATTTTATATTTTTATTTTATCCATATATATTTTTAAAATTATTTAATAATTTTTATTAATATACAATCTTATATAAACGATGTAATAGATAAGTTTCAATCTCAATCTCTCTCGTCTACACCATGCCGGTTCTACTTCTGTGTTGTGTGTCCTAACTTCTCCCACCCAACTGCATCTCTGCAATACTATATATATATATATATATATGTATATATATATATATATATATACACTTAAGGAATTTTCATATTTAAATGTCGCCTGTCGTTTTTTTTAAGGAACAGCCAATTTTATTTACACTTGGTTATCTGGTGTTTCTTCAATAAAGGTCACTGTAATATCCTTCAGAGTTATTGTCTGAATTCCGATATACATGCTAAAAGGTACAACTTCCTTAAGTTTTGTTCATGAGGTTATATAAGATATTCATCTTATTATTATCTATCATTATCCCCTATAATAAATATTTTAATATGTCTAACATGTAATACAAGAGTAACTTGTAATACATTATAATGCACTGCGGCCTATGATTATAAAACGACACTTGAAGTTTCACCGCATGAGCCTAGTGGATATGGCATCTGCCCGGTAAGCGGAACATTGTGGGTTCGATTCCCATCCCTGGACACTTTTATTTTTCCGTTCGTCATTACTCTTCATATTTCACCCTGTCATACTTCATCCAAAAAGGTTAGAAATAGTAAATATTTCTCCTTTAAATAAATCTCCTTTAATTTTTCACAGAAAAGAAACTCATACGGTGAAACTTCAAGTGTCGTTTTATGTAATACAAGAGTTGTCCAATAAATATCTGGTGCGACCATTAAATATTTAATCTTTTAAAATTAATAGTTGATGATGTTAGTCACAAAAGAGGCTTGTTCTTACATATAGATTTTACGACTATTGTATTGGTCTCCGTCATTGTAGAAATAATACCGATAGAGTTTAAGAGATATATTTTAAGGGGGGTAGGGGGGGGGGAACCATATACACGACAATTTACAATTAGTAAATTCACAAGGAGATTTCTCCAACACTGAAGCCTTCTCCAGGTGATCAGAAAGTCTTCAGTTTCATCAAGTTAAAACAATTATATAGGTCAATGTAAAAATCATACCGATAGAGTTTAAGAGATATATTTTAAGGGGGAAACTATACACACACATGACTATTTACAATTAGTAAATTCCCGAGGAGGCTTCCCCAACACTGAAGCCTCCTCCTCCAGGTGATCAGAAAGTCTTCAGTTTCATCAAGTCTTGGAAAGAACTTACATCGAGATGTTGCAGCAAGGACCGTGGGGCGCCAGTCCGCTAGGCCGTGTGGATGTGAAGTGCCACAGTAAGGTAAGTTCCCCGCCACATCACCAGGGAGTAGGTAGGTAACAACGGTTGTCGTAGAACCCCGACGTGGCGACTGACATCTCCGTCAACCCCGACAGCTACCCCAGACGGACTCTCCACGCCATGTCAGGAGTGCCAGCTGTCGCCATGATGAGAGTTGGATATCTGGCGCCTGGGCGGGATGTCATCATAGTCTGCCAGGTATTCACGCCCTGTACTTGTTCATCATTTATGGTGGTCGGGGGAAGTAAACCGTTGGTTTTCAACCGCTACGACCCGGGATCGAATCCCGCATTGGGCACTTTTTTTTCTAATTAAAAAATGCTCCAATGGCCCCCGATTCTTGCAAAAGTCTAACCCCACCATCGAGTGCAAGTAACTAATCGTTTGTAAGTGCAAAAGTCAAACTGCTTTTCACATGTGTAGACATGTGGTGCACTTACAGTAAAAGCAGTCGCTAACTACCTACCATGATTATCATGGCCTGTGCCACATGTACTAGCGTAAAAATAGCTTATCATTTATACCTATTATTGAAAGTTAAAATCCCTTCCTAAGATCCAAAACTACACTCATGGACAAAATTTAAGGAAGTTAAAAGCATTTTATATCTCTAGTCATCTTTTTTTATTTTTATATTTTTTAAGAAGACAGACACAAGTTTGATTACACTTGGTTATCTCGTGTGTCTCCAATAAAGGTCACTGTAATACGTATCTTTCAGAGTTATTATCTGAATCCCCATATACATGATAAAAAGTACAACTTCTATAAGTTTTGACCGTGAGTGGATATCATTAAAACAGACTATTTCATTGTAAAATTGCAATCATCTAATAAATAAGAGCGTAAACGTTTTTGCGATGGCAAATAATGGGGAAGCTGCTAAGAGGATTCACCATTGATGATCCAGGCCCTTCCATTATCTGTTTCATTGCAGAACGGACGTGGGATATTGTGGTTTATTTGGAGGAATATTGAAAATTCTCCTTAGTTTTTCTATTAAACACGATGGAGCCCACACACTTTTTCCTTATGACATTTCTTTAAAAATTCTAAATTCCTCAAAGTTTGTTTTCAAATACAATATTCTATTGGTTCTCTGTTCAAATTGGGGATAACCATCAATTTAAGAACACGACTTAGATAAGATGAACTTAACACTTTAAATATATTAAAATATATTTCAATGTTTTTATGAGTTTTTAATGGCTTAAATACATATATTAATCGCGTGTCAATGAACTATCATCAAAACACGCATTCAAAAGGAGTTCAATCACAAATCACGTATAGGCTCACATACTTAAACATACAACCTCGTAGGAAAGACCATAGCATACTGTGGTTCAATCATAATAGATGAAATATATTTGAAGTTAAAATTTTAAAAGATATCAATAATGCATGTTCGGATCACATCCGGCTCACCAGTTGTAAGTGTTATCAGGGATCCAACAATCAGAATTCATTCACCATCATTGGTTAGAAGGAACGTTTTTATTTTTCAATACATGTAAATTATATTATTATTTACGGCAATGCAAAATCTATCGCCAGCTAGAACATATTAAGTATCACTCCTATTCAAAACATTTTTACTGTTTTTTATTCTCACAATTCATAGAGTAATTAAGTTTTTATATTTAATTTAAAAAATATATATTCATGCCATAGTTAGATTATAGTAATTTCAACTTTTTTTCCAGTTGCTACAATATTATAAACAATTTCTTTTTCATAATGATTTTATTTTCAAATGTATAATTTCAAGAGAATTCAAGTGGTATTGTTCTTTTACAGGCTTACTTATATTAGAGAGATCAATCCTAGCTAAGAAAGAGTCAATATCTCTTTGATATTAGCGCTCGTTAATAAAATATATTTATTTTTGACCAAGTATAACAATGGTGTTCCAGGTTGAAGAAAGGGATATCAAGACCAAACGAACCTCCAAGCCTCTAGAGATCCATATTGTCCAAGTACATCCAGATTTACATGACCACTCCGTTCCTCATTCTTAAGAAACATTTCCCTATCGAAGCAAAATATCTCTTTTAAAATAAATTATTAGAATAAGTTGTCGTGTCATTTCTGGTACTGTACACCTCTGGAAGACATACGTCTAATTGGCACCCAGTGTTGTGGAATTAAGAAAGCTATTCGCGCTTCACAGGGGTCTTACATCCCATAATAGAGGGGTACTTCCACCCTGGGCCCCTCTCGGTCACTTAGATCTACATTCTACGTGTGAAATATCCTACAACTTTGTAACATCTTATAAAACATACACATGGTCTTGTTCTGCATCACCAGGATTTCTGATCTATGTGCTGTCTGATTCTTATATATTCTTGTCTAATTCTTGCATAGTTCCAATCTACTTAAAGCATATTTCACCATTTGGTGGTGGTGGTGTCTTGTCCATGGAGCAGATCGGTCCGTGTACCCTGATAACAATACCGGCCAACAAAGGTGCCTTGTTCGTATGGATGTCCTCTTCTGAAATGATGTCTGCCATATAGAGGGCTGCAAAGATGGCCGGGCAACTGTATATATGGTCCGGAGTGAGTTGGGTGTTGTGACAGTTATTGCAGTTTCTGTAGGATCTAGTCATGCCTGGGTGTATCTTCATTATTTAAAAAAAATGTCCTGTTCTGATTCTTTAATTGTTGTCGTTAATTCTCTGTTAATGTTGAAGTCGCATATTTGCTGGGGTATTTTGGTTTTTGTAATGAGTTTTGCTTTTGCTATTGTATTTGCGTCTTTCAGTGTTATTAAAGTGGTTTCCAGTGCATGTTTTCGTCCTTCATTCGCTAGGCCATCAGCCTGTTCATCGCACTCTATTCCAACATGGGCTGGTATCCATTGCATTAAGGTACATCTTTTGCCCATTGTGTCAAGTCGTCTCAGGATTTTATGTATTTGGTGGATTAGGTCTATTTTTCCCTTTTGTATTGCCTTAGGGATTATTTAGAATCTGTTAAGATTATATTTCATCATTTGATACATTATATGAGAAATAAAATTTTAAAAAAGGGAGAATTAACAAATGTAAAACAAATATCATGGAATAAATCAACGTTTAGTTTATATATATCCCGATATAAAAAGGTAGTGCTCTGCCATCTAAAAATGATCAATTGAGCGGTCAGAGGATATGTCTATTCAATATTCATATAAATATATGTTGAATTTATTAATATAATATGGAAAGAAAAGGAAAATAGAGACCTGTAATGAGCTGGCTAGACAGGGGTCAAGAAAGCTACCAGAAGTCACTAGATGAGCTGTGAGTGATGGTCACTAACAGATCAAATTGGGGAATATTTGTCCATATATACATATAAGCATACCACTATGTACAATGAATATGGCGCCTCTGCCACCGCTGCAGAGTTTGGTGGAGAATCGCCAGCAGGTCTCCAGCGACACCACGCATTTCGAGATTTACGGAGAAAACGTAGATCGCGTGCTTCGCCGCTGAGTAGATATAGTCACCAAGTTACATATAGTCACCAAGTTACATATAGTTACCAAGTTACATATAGTCATCAAGTTACATATAGTCATCAAGTTACATATAGTCATCAAGTTACATATAGTCATCAAGAGTCGACTTGATGGAAACTAACAGCAACAACATATAGAGGTGGCGCAACGTTTATAACACGTCAGCGGTTGTGGACCAGAAGATCATAGGTTCGATTCCATACAGGCTTTTTTTTTAAATAATCGTAGAGTTATCTCCCGTAACGCCATTTTCCTGCCATAATGACTGAGTGCTTTGCCAGTTGGCTATATCCTGGACCATGTCAGAATGACTTAACCTGACATATCGCAACCTCCAACAAGAGACACAACCTCCAGAAAAGACCAGCAAGATCCATGTTTTGAGCAAAATCTCATGGGAATATCTACAGTCACTGATACCATTATAGTACAAATTTACCAATGAAATGCTTCCTACTGTCCTTACTGCAATAGGGAAATATTTTGGGAGGGTTTGGGTCATCAATGGCGAACCTTCCCAGCGGTGACGCCAGCTTAATCAACCAACCAAGGATATGGCTTGCAGCTACTATTGTATTGGGTTATTCTGCTTATACACTCTTGAGAAAACCTAAGTTTCATATTTTGATATCGCCGGTCATCTCTTTTTTTAATGAGAAAGAAGCAATTTTGTTCACACTTGGTTATCTCGTGTGTCTTCATAATAAAGTTCACTGTGATATATTTCAGAGTTATTGTCTGAATACAGATATACATGCTAAAAGGTACA